TGGTGATTTTTGAAGGATTAACATAGCCCTATATAACCTTTTAGTTTACTATGATATTGGCCCTATGGATCAGTTGAAGAGAAACATAAATATTTGTATTTCTTCCCTTAAGTGTTGATGAGAGCCACTGGAGCTTGATACTAGTCAGTTAGTACAAATTAATGTACCTATTATTTGAAGTAAATACAGAAATTTAAGTGAATAGCACAAATTTCTTCAGACTTATTCTAGAGTACAGTAAACCTACTGGAGATTTCATTAAACCAGTGCTAAACTTCTTGCATGTAAAGTATATATAACTGGGGTTATAATACTTAGAAATCTTAGATATTTCACTAAGATATGAAATTTTAAACTTAAAATTACCCATGCCTCAAAGGAGATTATGAAATGGTATAGAGGGTGTCACTTGTTTCTTGAAACTACTGGAATTAATTATTTATGTAGTCACATTGATTGAATGTTTTGTCTCTCAAAATTGCAGAGTAGAGGGAGTTAGTAAAAGAACAGCCAACACTGGAGTGTGCCAGGGAAAATGGAGTGCCAATTACATTCATGAGAGTCCAGGATAAAAGTTTTGAGTAGCAGAATTTTTGCCTCATATGCTTCAGTTGTAATCAGTAGACATGGAAGGAGTTGCCATTTGGAGTTCACAATATGGTGCCTAGATAGAGTAGAGAAAGCCAAGATGGGATCCAGCTACTGGGAATGGAACAGTATCAAGTAGAAATTTCGCCTGCTACAGAAATAGTCAGACAGGAATCATTTGGATTGTCCGATAGCTGGTCTTATTAGAGCCTTAACCAGATTACCTCATTGTGCCCTTCCCCCAGCCTTGAGCAGGCCTAAGAGATGAGACCTTGTTTACCACAATAGACCAAACAATAGGACTCTGGAGGTATGGCCTGGGCATTTCCTGCCCTTGGCAGAGGCAGTGCTTGCTTTGGCCTTGGCGCCTTTCTGGCTGCCTGTAGCCTGGTACACGAGCTGAGAAGAATAGACTGCCTGCTGAGCTTGCTTTGAGACATCTCCGGCCCGCAATTACCTATGGATTCCTCTCACCTCCAGCAGGATGGTTTCCACTCACCCCCAGCCGGCTGAAGCAAGAAGGAACTCTGGGGGTGGGGTTGAGTTATCCCCTTTAAATTGAAAGCTGAACATTAAAGCACTGAGCCTCGATCAGAAACCTTTGTCCTGGCTTCATCTCTTCCCGCCCTCCTGTCCCTTCCCAGCCTCTCTTTCAGGTGAACCCGGTCGACTGTGGCCGATGGCCCTCAACACCTTATTAATCTACAGAGCAGAATACCAGACTTTGCCAAAATTGTGCCTTAGGTTAAGCAGGACAGTCCACAGATCCTGAATTCCAGACTCCAGTCTTGTACCCTGGAAATACACTTCTGCTCTCCTGCTGGACCATTCCTGCAGCCAAACTCAGAGGCTCATATGTGGGCCACACGCTTCTTTTAGAAGTGCAGGTTGTGAAGCAAACTTTAAATTCTGCCGCCAGTTTGGGGGAAGGGGGTCTTTCCCAGTGTTCCTCCTTGGATCCTCTTTCCAAAGACTCTTAGGAATGTGACCACCAATCAGGACCAGTAAAAAGACTTCTACAGTCCTATGGAGAACAAGAGTATAGGCATGAGGATCAAACTCAAAAGTTTGCATGAGTACATCAGCCCGCCGGGCGGTGGTGGCGCACGCCTTTAATCCCAGCACTTGGGAGGCAGAGGCAGGTGGATTTCTGAGTTCGAGAGTTCGAGGCTAGCCTGGCCTACAGAGTGAGTTCCAGGACAGCCACGACTACACAGAAAAAACAAAAAAACAAAAACAAAAAAAAAATCAGCCCAGACTAGATGAATCAGGAGGATGAACCAGCCCTGTGCCTGAATAGTTTGTGAACACATTGCAGCAGTCACATCTCTCCTATAAATTTGTAGATAATGAACTAACGCCAGATATTCTTTGTTTTCAGAAAGGAAAATATTCTTTGTTTTAAATCATGGAAAAGCATGGTAAGTAGTTTATGACAGATATTTACTTTTCTTCTTCATCATCTGTTTATCTATATCATCTATTAAGGTATCGCTTGATTGTAATGCTTCCTTCAGTTACTGAGATTACTCTTCTGATTCATTGTCATGTTATTGTCTTCATTATCTTATTTAGTATTCCAGTACAGAGAAGATAGACACAAATATCCATGGTACCATTTAGTTAATAACAAGAAAGCAATAGAGAAAGTGATATATATATATATATTAGGTTTACAGATACATACATTGTGCAGTACATACTATATCATATCCAAAGACTATGGACTTTTTTGGCACCTTTTATATGTATAGTGATTATTCTAGTCGTACTAAAGAATAACATTTTTGATATGAATTCATTCTGAAAAATGTTCGGATGTTTACTTTGATGATGTGTTTTACAACATACACATCCTTTAGGATTTAATAATGTTGATCACATTTTTCTTAGTCTTTATTCCCTCTCAAGAAAGTTCTAAAACAACATTTATCGAGTCTACAGTAAAAGATTTTGACTTATTAAATTTTAAGTCCTGAGAGGAAAAGCATTACATATCTTTGGAAATAATACTAGTTAAATCATTTTCTCTGAGATTTTTTTTCTTTCTCTTTTATCTTTGTTGAGATGATAAAAATACACACGTCTCACCATAATCTACATATTCTACATGTAGATAATTTATTTCTTAATGACTTTTGTAGCAACGTAAATTTTCATAAGACAGAATCAAAGCCATTGAAATGAAATTTTGTGTAGACTATTTTAAACATACTAGCAATTTGTTCAGCTTAGAGAAATTCAGTTGACCTCTGTGGCACAATAGCTTTTTGCTCATCATATTCATATAGTTATATATAGATATGTATACATATAAGTAAAATAAAATATCCTTGAGTGATAGTTTTCTGATAGGTCATTGCTTTTTTTAAGCTACATATGCTAAATTTCAAAACTTAAATACAATTCTTTAAACTGTTTGAATCAATTTTTATAGTATGTTTAGAACAAAAGTCTCCTTCATATTAGCTCCTCTACAAGCAGAACTCATGTGTAGAGTGTACTTTGCCTGGCACAGTTCAGCGTCACACATTTTCTTGGTACTGCGTCCTCCTCTTCCTGAAACATCTCATTTAAGCTGACATGTGCATATCTCTTCCTGTATTGCAGGCAAGCAAACTGAAGCTCCCCACCAAGGAACACATTTGCCAGCTGGGTATGTCCCTCCATATCCACCAGCAGCTTTCCAAGGTAAAATACTTGTTGCAGAAGAAAAATAACACTAACCAATTGACAATTGGAAGGGAGAGAAAAAAAGGGGTCCCGGCACACGTGTCTTTATTTTAGTAATTTTGTTTCATGAAATTGCATTGAAGGAATTTTGGCAGCTTTACTCCTTTTGATTTTCTTTTGCTCCATGTTTTCTATAGAAGTATTTTTACAATGTATTTCTTTTTATTTTATATGCATTTGTGTCTTGCCTGCATGTCTGTGTGAGAGTGCCAGATCTTGGAATTACAGACAGTCATGAGCTGCAATGTGGGTGCTGAGAATCGAACCCAGATCCCCTGGAAGGGAAGTCGGTGCTCTTAACCACAAAGTGGAAACAAGAACCAGCCCTCACAGAAGTATTTTTTTTTTATATAGAGGGCAGGAGAGATTGTAAAGAACTGTAAAATTAACAGTATGTTTATAACGAGCGACAATGTTTCACTTGAAACACACCACCAAGAGTTAATTTTGTCAGCTGCTTATCTGTTGTGAAGCCTGAGATCAAGTCTTGAGAATTTGAAGTTTTCCATGGGTGTTTTTGAGTCATAGAGGACTTGGAATTAATTGTAAAGTAACAGACAAAAGAAAGGACTGCTGGGCACTGGAAGCAACCTAGGGTTCTTGTTTCCATTTTGTGGCATATATGATATACATATATGATAAGATAGCTTTATTCTTAGCCAAGCCTAGAGATGTGGGTATATACCCAGAGTATAGTAAGCCGAAGCAAGAAGATGGTGGGTTCAAGGCCAGCCAAACATTTTTCAAAACCCTGACTCCTGATAAGAAACACAAATAAGGCTTAGATGAAACAAATTTGTAGGATGCTTACTTTGCATGTGGTGAGAACATAAGTGCCATCCCACAACTCAGAAAAGGAAAAAGGAAAAGCCTTTATGTTGTAATTATGATGATCATTGTTACTTTGTGTCTCAGAAAAATAGGCTCGTCATGTCGTTATATATGAGGGATACAAATTTTGTCTTATTTTGAACCAATGCATAAAATAATTGAGAGATTTTTCATTTAACAAATGCAATTATCAGGATTACCCGACCTTTGCAACTGCCCTTATAGATGGCTTACCCAGATTTTCCAGTAGCAGGCTATCCATATCTTCAGAAAACAGTCTGGGAATTAGTATCAAGGTATTCTGGTTGGGGAGAATGAAGGGTGGTATGCATTCTGTTCTCTTTGCTGAGCAAGCAGAGTGTCTTAGAAACTGCTCTGTGGATCCTAGATCTTATCCAGATGTTTACAATAAAAGAGTAAGTAAGGCTGAGCCTCAAGACTCTAACTTGAAGTTGTCAGCTACCTTACATGCATCAAGACAAGCATACTAGCAGACCTGTGTGCTCAGGGGCATTTACCAGGTGCTTCCACTATGAAGACAAGGCTTGACAACCTCTGCCTTGAGTTCCTAAGGAACTGGTGTTGGGTCAGTTCCCCACCAAGTTAAAAAATGTAAAGCAGAGACTTAAAGAATGTTTCACTCTGACTCATAGTTAACTTGAAGTAGGTATACTGGTCTCCATCTTTTGTCATGGAAAGGATTTTTACATTCTATTTCATTCTACCTAGAGCACCTCTCATCAGGCCTTCCATTGAGGGCCTCCTTTCTCATGCCTTAGGTATCAGCATGAAGTAATCCACATGAAGCAACCACCATTTTGCTCATACATTTTCTGCTTCATATCAGTGCAAATGTTTGTTTGTTAGACTTTGGCTCTCTTGAGTCAGTTTTCCACCTTGTACCTCTGAATTCTATATGAGAGGTTTCCATATATTTATTCTTAATAGTCGTTTGTTATGATAGAAATTATGAAGGTAATTAAATAGCTTTCTGAGCTATAGCAATTTTTCTAAACCTCGTTGAGGCTTAGAGACATGAATTTTGTCAGAAGTTTTCTTTTTATCAATTGTGGATTCTAAATATTAACCTCTTCATGTCTCAATGTGAAATCATTGATGCACATAGCACAATATTAAGAAATTGAATATGTATTTCATTTCTATGTATTAACTACTCTGCAGATACACTTAAGAAGCTCACAACAATCATTCTTTCATAGAGTATATGAAACACACAGGTATTAATTCCCTCCTGTTCTCTAGCTGTTAATTATTTAAGAGTTTCCATGGGGCTGGAGAGTTGACTTAATGGTTAAGAGCACTTGTTACCCTTGCAGAGGACTGGGGTTTGACTTGCTGCATCCACACTGTGGCTCACAATGGTCTGTAAAGCCAACTCAGGGGATCCGATGCCCTCTTCTGAATGTCAGAGGTGCCATGTATGCACATGGTGCATACACACACACACACACACACACACACACACACAGGCCAAAAGCCCCATACACATAAAATGATATAAAATGAAGGAGCCAGGGAATGAGGCCCAGAGTGTGGTGGCCCAGTTAGGTCCAGGACAGCTAAGATAGAATGTAGAATTTAATAAATGATAACTCAGGATTATCAATAGGAAATGCGTTGACCACATGGAGGTTAGGAAATGGCCCAGCTGTTGAGCTGTTTAAGACCTCTCTCTCTCTCTCTCTCTCTCTCTCTCTCTCTCTCTCTCTCTCTCTCTCTCTAATACATATATATATATATATTTCTAGAACCCCAAAATTTGGGGCAGGTAGAGGAAACTTGTGACTGGGCTTATTTAATTATTTTAATACTGCAAAATTATAATACAAAAACAATTTGTCTCATAATTTTTACATTCCTTGGTTAATCAACTGTATTTTCTCGAGCTTCTATGGAGCTAAATTGTAAAATTTAAATCTGTAACCTTAAGAAAATGGAGGTGAGGGCTGGAGAGATGGCTCAGTGGTTAAGAGCAGTGACTGCACTTCCAGAGGTCCTGAGTTCAAATCCCAGCAACCACATGGTGGCTCACAACCATCTGTAATGAGATCTGACGCCCTCTTCTGGTGTGTCTGAAGACAGCTACAGTGTATTCATATATAATAAATAAATAAATCTTTAAAAAAAAAAAAAAGAAAAAAGAAAATGGAGGTGATATCTGTTATTTTTTTTAATGGGCAAAACTGCAGAGGAATATACTGGATTAAAACTCTTGGCAAACAAGATCTGCTATGTACTAGAAAGAATAATTTATCTTTAATTATATACTAGGATTTCTCAGCAGTGGCCTGATAATATTTACGTTAAACAATTCTTTCCTGGAACCTATTGTTCTTGCTGGGTAATGTATAATTACATCCCTTCCACCCAAGGGACCACAGCACCATCCTTCTCCTCAGCTCAAGCAGATAAACAATGGTCCATATATTCCCAGTTCTCCCTCAGGGAGACAAAGAAAACTCTTTCCCAGGTCTTTCTGAAATTCTAGAATTGTGCTCTCTATTCATGGTGCTTTGCTCAGAGCCTTCATTTTGAGTATTCTGTCATCAAATGTGACGGAGGTTTATGTCTCAGCTCTAGTACAGAACTTGTTTTCTTCCGCAATGTCAATTATTAGAACCTATTTTCTAGCATATAAAATGTCACAGCATCATATAGATCTTGTATCTGTAGGATTTCTGAGATGAGAACTCAGTTTGTAGATAATTGGGATACTTCTAATGAACTGATTTTTCTGTGCAATTATCATTTATTTCTCTAGGACATGCTGCTTACCCCATACCACAGGCTGGCTACCAAGGGCCACAGGGTCCCTATCCAGGGCCCCAACCTGGCTACCCAGTCCCACCAGGAAGTTATGCAGGTGGTGGCCCAAGTGGTTTTCCTGTCCAAAATCAGCCAGCATATAATCATGCAGGAGGACCTGAAGGAACCCCATGGATGCCAGCACCACCTCCTCCACTGAACTGTCCACCTGGGCTGGAATATCTAACTCAGGCAAGTGTAAATGCACAAACTACGCATGAAAAGAAAACAACAACAACAACGACAACAAAACAAATACATGTTTCAAGTTTTTAGGGTGGAGTGTCAGACCAAAAACAAAACAAAAACGAAACGAAAACAAAAAATCCAGAGTCACAAAAATCTGAAATAAAATAACATTTTCTACTAGCAGATACTTCTAATTCTTTTAGGTAAGGTTCATCTTTTAAGAAAAATATTAATGTGCAAAGTAATTGTGTTTTCTGTAGTTTTGAATTTACCTAGGCAATAACAGTTATTGGCACTATTTTTAATAGGTTTCTAATTGGTTCATGTATTATCTCACTTAATCATTACAGAAAATTCTCTGATATGCAGGCATTATAATTATCATGTTTCTCAGAAGAAAAAATACTGTACAAAAAGTAAAGCTGGATGGTGGTGGAGCACACCTTTAATCCCAGCACTTGGGAGGCAGAGGCAGGCGTATTTCTGAGTTCGAGGCCAGCCTGGTCTACAGAGTGAGTTCCAGGACAGCCAAGGCTATACAGAGCAACCCTGTCTCCAAAAACAAAAACAAAACAAAAAAAGTAATACATATTTTCCCCATAGTTTTCTAATCTGGACTTTGGTACTAAGCTCAGTGTTTTTTCATTTTAACCTTAATTCATGTCCTCAAAATATATCTTCTATTTTTAGCACCAATAAAGCTCATATTTATTTTTGTTACTTCTGGCCTTTGAATGATGAAGTTTTCTAAAACCCTACAAATAAAGAAAAAAGGCCAAGAATATGCTGTACTACATGGTAATGAGTTACAGAAGCATGACTTTAACATTTATTTGATGAAGGACATTAGGTGAACTAGGAGCAATAAATATGTTCAATCGATGAACGAATAAATCAATAGGCTGTGATAACCGTCCAGTCAATCAATTTAGCATCCCAGTGGATACTCTGTGTGAACTTAGTTTTCCATAGCGTACTCAAAAGTGTAGGGCAGAGAAAGTTTTAGCAAGTCTTTGATCATGAAATAACTTCAAAATAGATTTTAATAAAATTAGCATCCTTTATATACCAGAAAGAACGTATCCTTACTACAAGTGATATCAGTCACTCATGATGTCTTTCAATCTTGCAACACAAAAGCTTCAATAAATCAACTGAAGTAATTTGTTACAAATCAATCTTATTTGACCAAAACGTTATCTTGTAGATACATCCTTTCCACAAATGTTTTGCCATTTTAAAAAAAATTATCTTTTAAATGAAAAACAAATTAAATATGAAATGTTGGTAACTGATTTCAAGCACGTGTTCTCTTTTTGCCTGTAACAGATTGATCAGATTCTGGTTCATCAGCAAATTGAACTTCTGGAAGGTGCGTATCTGTAGTGTTGATAGTATTTGTAGAAATAGAAGCAACTTATACAGATAAAGGCCTTTCCCACAGCAGTCTTCTATAGAAGGTTCAGCCAGGAGGTCACAGCAGTGGTTCGCAACCTTCCTAATGCTGCAGTCCTTTAATATAGCTTCTCCTAGATCTATAGGCTTCAAGATACTGTAGCATTACGTATAATCATGAAATATAAGTAATTCTAAAGTACACTATTTTTCAATATTTAGTTCTTTTTTAAAACAGGGTGTCCTTAAGTTTCTTATTTTACAAAAATGATTTTTTATTTACTTTTTTATATTATGTGTAACACGAAGATAATGAAATTATTCAAGTTTTACATTTTGGATGTACAATAGTTCTTAATGAGTTTCCTCTATTCAAATCTCAATATGCAAGAAAGATGTACATATAAAAATGTTTAGGTACTTTCACATGTATTTATTTATTTATTCTTTAGTAATCACAAGGAAAATTAGAGACTGTAAAAATATTTTTAGTTTTCATGAATAAGGTCAAAATTTCTGAGGTTAAGATATTAAAGCAGCAACAGATTAAGTAATAATTGTCCTGTAAAAATCAGTTGAATGACAGTCAAGTGTTGAAAGAAAGGAAGTTGCCATGAAAGCAGAGCTCAGACTGTCTCAGCCCCACCAAAGGCACTTCACTGTTCATCATGACAAAGAACATCTGCAGATGGCATGGGGTACTTTGAGCTTCTACAAATTTTAAATAATTCCTCATGATTTTGCACAGTCTCTGAAGAACAGTAATTCTAGTATCAGAGGTTTTGGACTAGGAAGGACTTTTATGCTGTCTTCCTGGCTGAACAAAAAGAGAAGATCCCAGTGTGGGAGTCAATATAGCAAGACTCCTCTTTTGAAACTCTCTGGGTACCACGATGTTGGCCTGTGATGTCATATACCTTGTAGGCTGTGATTTGAAGACACAGCTGCTAAGAACCTCTTGTCTAAAACCTCTCTTCCGTCTTGAATTACCTATTTTTGATAGATAATTAGATAAAAAAGCATGAATGCCTGAGCCCAATTCAGATTCACTTTCATTTTTCACTCTCCTTTTTCACATCTGGACTTATAGAACAAGAACACCCATTCTTTTTGCTCAAGTGGTGAAGAAAGGGTGTGTGTGTGTGTGTGTGTGTGTGTGTGCATTTGTATATAACAAAATCCCAAACGATTGATTCAATTCATAGAATATAAACGTAACAGTTACTCTCTAAGCCATAAAGCAAACCTCTGCCAGATGACTGGACATTTATCCTTCGCCCTTAGCAGTGTATCACCCTAGACACTGAAGCCCTCTTGTGACAGACTCCATGGAGTTGAAGATGCAGCTTGCCCTCTTTCGAGGTCTCCCATATGGACTTCATTCCTTCTTACCTGAATATTCTTCCTCCTTTCCCACTGCCATTTCCTGAGTCCAGATCATCTCTGCACTGCCTGGCTCACCTTTCTACTGGTCCTTGTATTCTCAGGCACACCATCCCCCTGCTACCTGAAGAGAGTATCACTGTTCCTCACAAAGCAGTGAGTGTGATTTTTCCTCTATGTTTTCAGTCTTAACAGGCTTTGAAACAAATAACAAATATGAAATCAAGAACAGCCTTGGGCAGAGAGTTTACTTTGCAGTGGAAGATACTGACTGTTGTACTCGAAACTGCTGTGGAGCGTCTAGACCTTTCACCTTGAGGATCCTGGATAATCTGGGCCGAGAAGTCATGACACTGGAGAGACCCCTGAGATGCAGTAGCTGCTGCTTCCCCTGCTGCCTCCAGGAGGTCAGTGTGAAGTTCCTATAGCAGCAAGGGATTTGAAGTATTGATTAAACCTGAATGGTATGGCTATGGTTACATTAAATGCACACTCTTGCTTTTGTAGATAGAAATCCAGGCTCCTCCTGGGGTGCCAGTAGGTTATGTGACTCAGACCTGGCACCCATGTCTTCCGAAGTTCACTCTCCAAAATGAGAAGAAGGAGAGTGTTCTAAAAGTTGTTGGTCCATGTATTGTGTGTAGCTGCTGTTCAGACATTGACTTTGAGGTAAGAAGTCTCATAATGTCTACAGGATGTGTTTTCCTGACATGAAAAGAACATATCCCTATAGGATGTTATTATTGCATTACCTAAACAGTATGAACAGATGTTTGCTCATCTGGTTAATGATTAATGAGTGCTCTGATTACACGTCAGTGTAGATAAAAAGGCAGAGGTCTGTAATAGGGAAAAAAGGAGAAGGAAAGAAAATTTAAAAGACAATTAGTACGTAAAATCTTTGTATGTTTGGGAAAAGAGTTGGCTCAGTTGACAAAGCACTCACTGTGCAGGTATACTGCATTTGGATCCCCAGGATCCATGAAAAACCATGGCATAGAGGCGAATGTCCATCTGTCTTCCAGTACTGGGGAATGGAGACGAAAGGCTGCCTGGGGCTTGCAGCCTTGCTGCATCAGCAAGTGAGAGACCCTGTCTCAAAAATAAGGCCTCAGCAGTAAACCACTGTCTAAAGGCTTGCATTCCACACTAAGACATGCTGATATTCACATCAATATACACCTACACACACATGATATGCACAAACAGACTAACTTCTGTATGTTTATACTTCATATTGGACATTTACAATAGAAGAGTTACCAAGCCACTGAAGTGGGCTTCCTTGGCTCTTTCTTCTGTTTTCTCTTGTTCTGTGTTACAAGCTCCAGCTATACTGAGGAAAGTGTGCACTTTCGATTTTTAGAGTTTTGACTAAAACCGTGGTATATACTTTCCCTAGAAGAGGTGGAACACAAGATATCTTATTTATTCATATGACATCTTTTTATGTGCATGCTGAAAATCCATATGCAGATTATTATGCCTTATTAATGACAGTTTCAATATGATTACGTTTAAAATTCTCATCTTTTCAAGGATTTACTTTTCGTAGCTTCCATTACTCATAGTAAACAATGACTTGAAAATATGTAGTAGAAGGTTCCGGACATAAAACTTTATGGGATGTAAACTACATCCCATTTCTAGTAGTGTGAACTAACCTCAGGCTGAATTGCTCCATCTTGCCTGGGTGTGAGTCAACTTCCTGTACACCCTCCACAAGGTCCATCATAGAAGTCTTGTTATTAGGGGTCAGTCATGGAAGTGTGACCTTGTGCTCTCTCTCTCTGCAGTGATCAAGATGCCTTTACACCATAACCTAAAGCAGTCACTTGACCTGTGTAGCCATTATCTCTGTTCATCTCAAGACCTGGCACTGTTTAACTCACATCATCAAGGGAAGGATAAATAGACACTAAGATCTTTTGAGAGAGATACACATTCCCTCTTAACTTTCCTCATAGAGAATTATCATATTCTTCAATCAATGTTTTTTTTTTAAAAAAACATTTTAGTTTTCCTGATTTATTAAATCAGCACCACGTCAGGATTGTAAGAGTGATAAATCTATGAAGTGCCACTTGGCACTTTGCTCAGTATGGCTTGCATCTCCTGTCCTCTATGAGTCTCGGCTCACATGGCCTTTGATAAATGATGATAAAAGCTTAAATGACAGGTATTGCATATAAAATATTTGGATATTACAAAAGAGGGTTTGTTTTAGAGATCCTATCTGAAACAACTATAATGTTTCATGACTTCAAACAGACAGCACTGTGTTCACATTATGGCTATTAGGTCAGCTGAGTTTCTGTACTTTGATGAAGCTAATGTAGATGGCTCAAACTTAGACCATGCAGTGACCACCTATCTGTTCAAGAAAAATGTGTCCTAGGACTGTGACCACAGCACCCAGTTGAGTGATACTGCTCACTGGATGTACATGCAGGTTAAGCCAGTTGGCCATGATAAACATCCAAATCCTCTGTCACACCCTGTCATCAAATTAGACACCCACCAAAACCTGATCCAAAAGGAATAGAAAGTGTACTGTGCCTAGCCTGGGTGTGGAATGCAGGGACTATTCTATGAGCAGTATCCTATGACTCTTCGTTCATGTTAGAGGTAGACTTCAACACACTGAGGTGCCATCCTCCTCCAGCCACATCCGCTGTGAATAACTTTAATGTCCCTTGTTTACTTGGTGGATCCTGTCTGGGGCAAGGGCTTTAAAGGAGGCTGTTCCCACCTTTGGTGACCTTCGAAGGTTTGGACAGGATACACCTTCTCCTGGAACACAAGCCTATGTGTTCATACCTCAGGGAGCATCCACACGCCCTCTATGGAGTGGCTTTAGTTTGGACTTGTTCTGTTCTACTGTTCTACTTCCTGACCTTTCCTTCCACAGGGCCCCCCTAACTCGGAATCTTTTCACATTGGAAGTCTTGACTTTGCTGCCTTTCTTCTTGTGTTCTCTATACCCTACTAGTTTTCCATCCCTACCTGATCTCTGACCTGGCAGCCTCTCATGGAGCTTCCTGTTGTATCCTTCCACTAACCAGCTGGTCTTTAGATCTTTCTGAGCTATTGCATTTCAGGAGCCCATACCACCCACTATCCCATGAATCTCTGCTAAGATTCTTGAAGAAGTATTTGAACAGTAATTGCATTTGTCATCTTTCCAATGGTTCTAGACAACGTATCAGTAAAACATTTAAAATTTTTTTCTATTAAATTTGTTTTGCATCAAGAATAAGAATTTATATTATCTGTCTTAGCAGGAACCAGAAAACATTAGTTTTGTCCACACACAATGAATAGTTCAACCTCTTGATGCTTATCAGTTTATATAATTTAAGGCAAATATTTGTTTTTTTTGAATTGTAACTTTGAAGGTTATATTTGCCATTTAGTTTTGAGAAATGCTTATGACTTTGTTTTTGCTACACAGCTCAAATCTCTAGATGAAGAATCGGTAGTTGGCAAAATTTCCAAGCAGTGGTCTGGTTTTGTGAGAGAGGCCTTCACGGATTCAGACAACTTCGGGATCCAGTTCCCACTAGACCTGGATGTGAAGATGAAAGCGGTGATGCTTGGAGCTTGTTTCCTCATAGTGAGTCCGTCCCTGCTAATTTTCCTTATGAGTGGCTTTCTACAGTCATTCTGAAACCATTCACCAAATTGTATGCTCCAAGATACCTTGTGAAATGAGCAGTTGTTTATATCAGTACACACCATTCAACCATGTCTGAAATACCATTTAGCATGACACTCTGGATGCAGTCTAGTACACTTGATTATGGGGATTGTGTCTGCCCATAAACCAAAGGTCTTGGGTCCTGGGGTGATTCTAAGGTGGGAAATTGTTGTTTTAGGGAAGTTTGGAAGCTTTTTAGGCCACAGACTAGGTCATTAGGAATTTAGGTAACTTGCTCATTTAAAATTAGGCTGAACTGTTGGAAATCCAAGTTTATAAAGATAAATCTTGGTGACTCTGTGATAATTGGGTTGAAAGGAAGTAGCACTCTGATTGTTCAAACTAAGCAATTAGCAAATAGATTAGAATAGAAAAAGGAAAACAAGAGATCAAAGAAATCAAATGTATAAGATTTAATAGACAGTAAACTTGTACAGAAGAGAATTGTTGACCCAGGGCCTAGGAGGTCCCTGTAAGCATACATTTTTTGCAATCTACTTTTAATGGGTTCAACCTCTCCTCTAGCCCACCACCCATCTGTGGTATTGGAAGAGAAAAGTTATTAGGATATGAGGGAAGCAGAATTGCTCAGCAATAGTTTTTTGGGGGTGAGTTCAATCTTCTTTGGCAGCACTTCAGTCCCATAGCAAACACCAAATATGACTCAGCAGCTGCAGACCAGTCCTCTAGGCAGGCAGATACCAGGCACAAAACAGCAACCTAAAGAAACTGCCTGAGGCAAGTCCCCAGGACCCTCAGGAGCAGTTCTTAGGCAAATGTCTCACAATGGTGGCATTACCACAAGTTGAGCTCAACAAGGCTATGGAAAGCAAACCAGTACATGCTGAAAGAATATTGAGGTGGAGCAAGACAAACCAATCTCAGTGTCCATTTCCCATGGTCTGTGGTGCCACGGACCACCCGTGGGATGTCCCGGCACCGAACCAGGGTATGGGAAGATAGATATTCAGGTGGGGAATGGATTCGGCATGACAGACAACACAAACACCAGAGAGGTTTCAATGCTGCTGCAATTTTTACTGACTCATAGCAAACTTTTTATACAGTCAAAGCAGGAACTGTACTTTTGACGAGGTGCCAAGCTATACACTTCTTCAATTCTTTTTTCTTTGAATCATAACAGAATTCGTCATTATTACAAAATGATAACTTCAAAGGAAAAGAAGCAGTGCCCTGGTGACTTACCAGACTGGTGGTCACCTCATGCAGACAATCTTAAGCTTATTCTTAGAATGTAGTTAAACCTACTGCCGGTTCTCTTGGCCAATCTGTCTGAATTTTCTCCAGCAATTGCTTAACTTCTTCTATTTTTCTGCACATCAGCCTATGACTCTCTCTGCACCAAGCTGACCCTGCATGTTTATCTGCAGCATCAGCAATATCTGACCAGACCTATGCCTTATCTTCTGCCTTTGCATTCTACATATGCATTACAAGCCTCACAAAGAACACACCCTCCATGCCATTCAGGGAAATGTTCCTGATGGCTACTTCTAAAGAATGTTCAAAGGTTTGAATCACTTTGGCTTCTGTGACAACCATTATAGAGGGCTGTGCAATAGCTAAAAAATAAACAAAATAACAAAAAGAATGAAACCAAATCCCATATCCCTGTAGAATCCCAGGGGCCCAAGAGGCACATCTCCACAAATTTCCAGGCTTCTGCTGCATACTTCTGCCTGAAAGAGGAGTAGGTTCCAGAACCATCTTGACACTAGAACTCCCCCCAAGCCTTTTTTGTCACACTGATGCTGTAGACAGCGTGGCTGGCAAGGCAGGTGTGGCACTGTGGGGTCATCTATACTCCTTCATTAAGGGTCCTTTCAAGTATTTGCTGTATCAAAACATCCTTTCACCTGTGTGCCCCTCAAAACATCATTTGACATAACTGACTTTCAAAACAAATCAGAAGTCAGCTCCGCTGTCAAGGTTTCCAACTGAGCCGGCTCCACCAGCCCCAAGTCAATATCTGAATCTGGAATTCCTGTAACAAGAAACATTAAATTACTAGAAAGGACTAGCAAAAGTTTGGGAAGCAAGATTTCAGGGGGGTATGAAAAAGTAGCATCAGAAAATTTTGTCGGGAGTTAATCAGACTGGTACAGAACAGAGGAAAGGGAGAAGGATGTAAATGATTGCCCTTAAAATGAGAAGAGAAAGGCAGACCTTACATAGCTATAGCTGCTCGTTGTTCTTATGCTGCTTAGTTTTTATAAGTTCCCTTTGTATCTGGGATCTGTTCTCTGATTTGTTGTCAAAAACTCTTTTCTTTCTTCTTTTTATTCAGGATTTCATGTTTTTTGAAAGAAGTGGAAATGAGGAACAAAGATCGGGAGTCTGGTAGTAGTTTCCAGAGATTCCTCTTGAGGTGTAAGGACTATGTACTGGTGGACATTCAATGGAAACCGAGGAATCAAAAGGAACACACCATGGCTTCTTTTCTTTTCCTGAAATAACTTTATACCAATTAACCTGTGATGGCTGTAGGCCCTATTGTACAATTGTGCTCTCAAATTAGAGTTTATTTTCTATAATTCTGTCGTGTCTTTGTTTTTATACACTCTTAAAATTTTCACTGTGAATTTGTGAAAAAATTATGAATTTATACACATAGAAATGATCTTGTCTATGAAAAAATGCTTTGACTTTGTCTTTCATTCATTTTCCATTTTTTGTGGAAACTTAAATATTATTGTAATTTAATATAAAACTACATACTAAATGTAGTATAATTATGACTTACACAAAAGAGTTGATATTACTTTATAAATACTCCCCATTTAAAACCTTTAAAAAAGTTACTTTACGGTCGACCCCTAAACTTCCACGCCCTCCAGAAGGGTTCCTGGTATGCCTGGCTTTGCCCTCGTTTCTCTCGCTAGAGAGCTTGGCCTCTTGATCACCCCAACAAAAATTGGCTTTTTCCTAAACCAAGGCCGCCCTTGATATGGCCGCTAACATTGGGGAGCCTTCCTTTATGACAATATTACACCCCAAACTGACAAATGGTTGGTAACTTGAACATTTACAAGAGACTAGGATGGCTGTGAGTTAGCCCAATGACGGGATTATTGTAGGTCCACTTCCCAGGGGCCCACCCAATGCAGCCGAAAAGGAGTGCATGGTGCTGGGAGTGGGTGCAGCCTACATGGCCTAAGACAGGGCTCTCACCCTCCTTTCACCCACATCGGGGTCCCTTGACGTTGCCCATCGTCGACAGCCTAAAGCCTTCGACCATCGATGTGACTCGTCTCACATCAATGTTTTGGGGTTGTGAACTTGTCTAAGACCCCCCATAATTACACATCCAAATTCAAAATTCACATAGTTGGGATTGATCATAAGACGCCTTCTCTAACTAAACAGAGAAGGGGGAGATGCCAGAAGCCAGGACCCTCGCCCTTACCCT